AGCCATAGAAGGATACTCCTAACAAAATTCGAAAAACAAACAAACAAAAACCTAAGGTGTCATGGCCATGGCTATTCCCCCAAGCAAATCAAGGATAAGACAAGATTTCTGGCATTGGATACAAGACCCCAAATGAAATTGTTAAGGACCTAATTAAAGTTTTAAGGAAGCTGTGCTGTCACAAAAGCCTCAGCCTGTTCCACAGAGTTATGACTGTTCAATATTGCAGCAGTTCCCGAACCAAGCACGCATATCAAACCTGCTCACCAGCACCCCTCAAACCCTCCCGCCCCTGCCTTCATTGGTGCCGCCACCAGCGCCAACAGGGAACTCCTCCCTCGGGGCCTCTCTGAAGGGGCCCTGACTCAGGACCTGAAGCAGCCGTATTGGCTGACCAAACACGGCCAGCTAAGTGAGGCAGCAAAGAGATGCCATGAGACTGTTTCCGTCATTCATATCCTACTAAGCCTGCTCAACAAGGCCTGGTGTGTATTCTGCACCAGTAATCGATGTGCTCAGGGACACGTCCTTCCCCCTTTCTAGTTTGATCTTGATTCCACTTCACTCTAGCAGGTAGATACAAGCTACATTGATCATTTATCCCATAAGCTGGATGGTGAGGAGTTGAAATTAAACCTAATCAAATCCAAGCTAATGAACTAGAGAAAGCCCGCGTGCAGCAACGAAGACCCAACGCAGCCAACAATAAATAAATAAATTTAAAAAAAAAAGCTTATTATCAAATCCAAGCTAACGGAAGAACGGACACCATCCAGAGAACCTGAACTCAAAATTGTGTCACTTCACGATACAGAAGCTACACATGACCTTGGACTGTCTCCCACCGGGAAGAATGTGAACATGTCTGAAGCTGCACAGAAGATAGTTGGATTATAGTCAAGTAGGAACATTTTGTGATTAAATATGTAATTGTCTTCAAATGAGACATTATAGAGGAAAAATACGTCTGAAAGTGTTGAGTTTCCAGAAGAGGTGTGACTGTTGTTTTTTTAAAAATGAAAAAAGAGAAAGAAAACTATAGGGCCCAACTCAAGAGTCTTCAGAGATGTAATGCGCAAAATAAAACAACAAACATACTTGCTGAAAGTATTTATGGATCCCCAGTTATCACAAGGGCAGATACATCAGGGCCTAATACACTCAGTCACTGAAAAGCACCCCCAACCTGTCTGACGACATCAAGGAAACGAGCACCACTGCCACTCAGTCATGTCCTTTGGAACATGGAACATTTGGCCCTCTCGATGAGAGATGGCTCTGGCTTCCTGGCAAATCTGTGCATCTGTGTCGAGAGATATCCCAGGTCTCTGACTGCCAGAGTCATACAAGGTTGAGGGAGAGACCCCACAGGAGTCTGCTGCCATTGCAAAGGTAACAACCACCCACTTCACATGGGCTCCTATTTCTACACCATTTCCTCCTCCTCTGGCCAGAGGTTATTCAAATGGAGACATGTAGGAAGATGAGAAGTTCACTGTAAGTTCTTGTGTGGGAGAAATATTCACGAAAAGGCCTCAGACAGCTTATTAACTCTGACCTTAACACAGCATCTTCAGATGCCTCATTCATCTCTTTGCTGGATTCATCCTCATAGTATAGATTCTGTTTGATATCTTTCAGGAGGGGTCCTTCTCTTTTCATTCTTGGGAAAGAAAAGGTGTATTTGCACATGGAAACAAACACATGATATAACAAAGTTACAAAATTAGACAAGTATCTTTGGGAAGGAGTTAGGCTGAAAACTTCCCAAAGCATTTCAGCTTCTCCAGGATGCAGGGTAGTGGAAAGAGCACAGGCTTTGGAGGCAAATGGCCCTGTGATTGACTCTCTAACTCTGCCTCCTACCATGTTAAGTGGCAATAATATTTCAAGGAGAGCATGGGAGATTTAAACTAGGAATTCATGTTAAAGACTGAAAAGAAACACAACCTAAGAGTGAAAGATAATCAAGTCGTAACAATGCTAGTCGAAATTATAAAAGTCTGCGATACAAGAAAAAGAGGGTAAATGGATGTAATACGTAGGAAGGCAGCTAGGAAGCTGACAGTTTAGAAACAGAAGTTCGCAAGACAGCCACACTATATAGAACAAGTTCTAAGGACATGTCATGGAAAATAGTCAAATGAAGAATTTTTTTTATAAATTTTATTTTTGGCTGCGTTGGGTCTCCGTTACTGCATGCGGGCTTTCTCTAGCTGTGGAGAGCGAGGGCTACTCTTCGTTGCGGTGCGCGGGCTTCTCATTGCAGTGGCTTCTCTTGCTGCAGAGCACGGGCTCTAGGCGTGTGGGCTTCAGTACTTGTGGCACATGGGTTCAGTGGTTGTGGCTCACGGGCTCTAGAGCGCAGGCTCAGTAGTTGTGGCGCACGGGCTTAGTTGCTCCGTGGCATGTGGGATCTTCCCGGACCAGGGCTCTGCAATGGCAGGCAGATTCTTAACCACTGCGCCACCAGGAAAGCCCCCAAATGAAGAATTTAAATGATTTGTTCCTTTCTTCATTGGAAGCACAAAGGGTACAATCCTTGCTGAGTAGATGCTATAAATAATGAGCCTTTGTGTTTGTCATCAGCCTTGTTTACTGGGAGATGAATGAAAATATTAAAGAAAACACTTCTTTGTTCCCAACTAGGGTACCAATCTACCAAATTCATTAGGCTTTCCTGCTGCTTTCAGGGGCTTTTCCATACAGGGCACAATCCAATTCTATTTCCAGTGCCTACTCGGGAATCCCTTCACGTGCTGGTCCTCCCATGTCTTGGAAACGACTGAGGATCAACATGCTTTCTTCTCTTCTTTATCCCTACTTTGTTCATTTCCCCTTTTCTTTGTTTTCCTCTTGATTTTCCGAACTGCTCAAACCAGGGGAGGTAGAACTTCCTGAGGAAGGTTCCATATGAGCAGTAACTGCTGGATTTAGTCTCTTGTCATATTGGGGACAAATGGTGCCACGAAAGTGAGTGTGATAGATACATGAATACGGCCCCATTTCAGGTCAATGTCTACACTGGCCGAGATTGTAACTTGTCCGCCCTCGTCCACTCAGAGATTCTCCACCTGTCAACACATGACTCTCCCACCTCCTCACTGTGAACTAGAAACCAAATAATGTCTTTTTTTTTTCCAACATTTTTATGCCCTTTTCTTTCTTTCCAGTTTCACTTCCATCAACCTAGGTTAGATAATAACTGATGATAATGATGATTGATAGTAAAAATTGATCATAATATTTCCTTTATTGGTTTTTTGCTTCCCATCTCTCTCGACTCCACTGCGTTCTGCACACTGCCCCGTACCAGTCTTCCTGAAACATGAAAAGTGATCTTATCCTTCGGCAATACGATTTATCAAGAGCCATCTAGACTCTGTAAAGCAAAAATCCCGTAAGTCTGGTACCTAAAGCCTTCAAATCAAACTCCCCAGTCCTATGTCCCATATGTGACCTACATAAACCATTTACTCCAAACAAAGTCACCACCTTTACTAAAACCTCTCACTCCACGGGCTAAATGCACCCCCTAACAAGTCCTGTGCATGCATCTTACTGAACGAACTACATGTAATCACTAATTGGAAACAAAAACTAAATCTGGAGATATACCTAAATTTCACAGAATCGGCCTTGAGGTACTTGTTCTTGTGATTTTGTCCAAGTGGTATCACCATAGCAAACTATGTCATTTATTCATAAACAAACATAAAAGTCAGAACAATAACTCATTTTATTGCTCGATTTCCAATTTTCTAAGAGCAAATATGTCTTTCCCACGAAGACAGGGACTCTGTCCTCTACTGAACCCTCCACACCTGTAACACTGCCTGGCATCGAGTTAGTGCGAGATAACCACTTCTTTCAGTGAATAAACCACGGTGGACCCATAGAGAAGAACAGGTGACACATTTTAATATTTATTGGTAGAAACAGATCTTCAATGCATACTTTGTGTTTTAAAGTCTACATTCTCTTAACTCTTTTTGCTGTTGTTGTTATTGTTTCATTTGGAGTTTTTTGGTCTCCAAATGAACTTAACATATTATCTATGCATTTGATTCTTTATAGACCCTTGTTTTTAGATTTTAAACTAAATTTGAAAATCATGCATACTGTATATCTTATTTAATGTAATCCAAAAAATTGTTTGCACTTTCAAAAAGGTCACAAAAAGGTAGAACTCAAGTTAAATAACCTCTGTGTTCTAAAATTTCCACGTTCCATTTCTGAAAAAAGAAATACTCGTTCAGTGTTATATATTGCTTGCTGTCTAATAAGTCAGATTGTCAGACGCTTCATAAATTATATCTATTTTTAAATATCTTAATCTACTTCCTCCCAGAGATGATCCTGTAAGTATTAAACATCCTGCCATATGCAGTAATAGCCCAACAGTTTAAAATAAGAACCAAACTGGTCATTTTTAGTTAGACTGAATACTTAAACCTTAAAATTATATACCTATATATACACATGTGATATGCTGCATATTAAATTTAACATTTCAAGTAACTTTAATGCATTTAGCAAACACTCAGCCAAATATTCTTTCATGAAAAGATACTGTCCTTAGAATAAAAAGTTAAAGAAAGGCTTATTTAGACACCAATGTCTGGACACGGTACAAAGCCTGAAAGTCCAAGGAAAATCTGCTGGACTTCTCAGAAAAAGAATATTGATTTGTAACCTACTGAGTTGTGCAGATACAAAAGTGCTTAACATGACAAAATTACCAAAATAAAAACATTTTAAAAGTTATTTGGTTCTAGCAATATTAACTATTCTGTATTTTAGGATGATTTAACATTTGCATTTTAAATTTTCTATAAATTTTCTCTTTTTAACAAGTTAAAAAAGCACACACAAAAAATAGTTCAAACTATAATCATCTGTTATTTTTCATCCTGGTTAGCTCATCACAAATAATTCAACAAAAGAATGCCTGAATACTCAGCTCTACTAAGATGCAACATTTGACTGGATCCAGCATGTCACCCGTTGTTTGCTGTACTGGACCCTAAGACAGGCTGCCGACAGATAGGACACGTGCAATTCTCTGAGAGGCACCGGTCGATACAGTGGATGTGAAATTCATGCATGCAAGGTAACTGCCTGAGCTTGTTTCCAGTTACGTAGTCACTGATGCAAACGCTACAGATTTTCCCTCGTTCGCTATCGATACTGCTGTGCTCATAGTTCCGGGTGGAAAGATTGTCAATCTGCTCTTTGGTTAAACCACGCATGCGGTCATCATCCTCCCCTTCATTAAGCAAGAAGTGAGCGAGGCGAAGGATAGGTAGGGTGCCAGTTTCGACCAAGTTACTTGAATTTTGCGACTGCCTGCCACCTCTGTTTTGGGCACGAGGCGGGGCGTCAGGGCTGTCTTCTCGGGTCCACCTGCCTTGGGGGGACCCTCCCCTGTGCTGGCTGATGGCCTCACCGAGGAGACTCACTTCTGAGTGTGTCTCCGGCCGATGCTGACCACTTCTCTGAGCCTCTGACTCAGATTCGGCCTCCATTAGAGAACTCAGTTCTCCAAATCCAGTCATGATCTGCCTTAAAATTGATCGAAGAGCCACTGATGATGGTTCAGCGAGCTCATTCTCAGAAATCCTACGAAGAGGAACAGTTATAGTACTAACGTAGGTTCGCATACCTGTGCGCTCTAAACGAGAGATGGTGCGCCGAAAGCCCCCACTACTGCTTTCGATAGTGACTGTGTTTTCTGCCAGCCCCACCCTAGATCGAGTTCTATTTGCAATACTGTCCCAGTCTCTGCTTTCTCCAGGACGAATCCTTCTCACTTGAAGGTCCAGTGTGATTGCCGGATGTCGTCGTGCAGCAGCGGAGGACCTGCTGGACTCTTGTTCTTCTACTGTGATTCTTGACACAAGTCTTGAGTTAGAGAATGGAGTATATGCGGTACCTCTGCCTTCTCGGCCTTGCTCCAGAAAGACACGAGTTATACCTCTCCTCCTAACAGACCGCCTACTAGTTTGCTGAAAAGGTCTACTTTCCCTTTGTGAACTATGATAAACAGTACCACTTTGCCTCTGAATTGGTGACCGGCTTCGGCTATTGAAATTAGACCGTAATCTTATTGGCTCTAATCTTTGGTTTGTATTCCTCACTGTGACATTAGTTCTAGCCCCATTTTCCCAAACATGGGCTGCTCCAAATCGCTGCCCCTCCCTTTGCCTGAGTTCACTACCACCTGATGGATTAGCGCGTGCAGCACCAGTTCTAGGGGTGCCAACAGCCCCCCCAATTCCATTTCTTAATCTTCCCAATGCTGACAAAGATTCTTCTACTGAACTCCGCCCCCTCGATCCAAGCCTAGTTCTCGGAACATTGGCACTACTAGCACTGAGATCCCCTGCAGCTTGGCTCCTTGTTCGCCTGGCCACAGGGCTACTTGATCTCTGTGGCCCATCTGTGGTGTGATCTTGGCTAACATCGGAAAGTGGAACGCCCACATAATCTTCGCCATCCATTTCAAATCCTCTATTCTCGTGATTTATGTGGATTTCCAGACAAAATTGGAACTCTCCACTGTGTGGGTTTGTTCGACTCACAGCTCTCCAAGTCTGGTTCCCATTCTGTCCACTTCGAGTTGCGTTTCCCGTGCGACGAAAGGTGTTGAGCCATTCCAGCAGAGACTCCTCAACGGAACTTTCTCGAGGGGCCCCTGAGTCTGGAAAGCAAACCAAATCAACTTAACATCAATTACTAAAATCTATCTTTAGATCTTTATTGAAAGCTTGTAAGATAAACTAAGTTTTTATTAAATTAAAAATATAATTAAGAACATCTGTGCATTTTAATGAATGAAAAACGGCCAAAAAACTGAACTTTCTAAAAGAAAGGTGTATACTATAAGCATACTATAATATACACTGTATCAAAATTATAAAATTTTAAATACTATTTGTGCAAAGGTGTGAAGAAATCCTCACTCTTGCTTTCTATATGCCTGTTATTGGCAAAATGTTAAGGCAAATGAAAAATATATCCAGTATCAAAACTGTACATTTAAATTGCTTTATTGGGACTTCCACTGGTGGCACAGTGGATAAGACTCCACGCTCCCAATGCAGGGGGCCTGGATTTGATCCCTGGTCAGGGAACTAGATCCCACATGCATGCTGCAACTAAGAGTTCACATGCCACAACTAAGGAGCCCACCTGCCACAACTAAGACCCCCTGCAACTAAATAAAATATTTTAAAAATTGCTTTATTCATATGGCAGTATCAATAAAATACAGTGGCAAAACTTATGTATAATTTATCTTGAATTTTTAGAATTCTTTGGTAAAGGTAACTCAATCTTTTTTGCAATTAGGTATTTTGGCAACCTTAAGAATTTTATCCTATTTCTCAGAAACTTGCCAAAAATGTACAAGTCAAGAAATATGGCTTTATGAGTAAAATGTTAGAACCACATTATATCTTCATGTGAAGATAGGAAACTTCAGGCATGTTACTTAAATTCTCTGGCTAAATCCTTATCTGTAAATTTGATAATAATAGTATAGATGTCAAAGGATTATCATGAGGATAAAATAAGACACTGTATATAAAATGATTAGTATAATATCTGGCACATAGGAAGCACTCAATAAATGTTAGCCATTATATATAATACAACAAAATACATTTTCTGTTCATTTAGAACATGAGCTGCATGAAGACAATGAGTTTTGCCTTATTTTACTCACTGTTAAATCCCCAACCTCTACAACAGTATTTGGGACAAATCGGACTCTCAATTAATACTGCTGAATGAATCGATTTAGAAATAAATGTGCCCTGGGACTTCCCTGGTGGTGCACTGGTTAAGAATCCACCTGCTAATGCAGGGGACACGGGTTTGATCCCTGGTCCAGGAAGATCCCACATGCCGCAGAGCAGTTAAGCCTGTGCACCACAACTACTGAGCCTGTGCTCCAGAGCCTGCGAGCCACAACTACTGAGCCCATGTGCCACAACTACTGAAGCCCGTGCGCCTAGAGCCCGTGCTCCGCAACAAGAGAAGCCACTGCAATGAAAAGCCTGCGCACCACAACGAAGAGCAGCCTCCGCTCACTGCAACCAGAGAAAGCCCACACACGGCAACGAAGACCCAACGCAGCCAAAAATAAAATTAAATTAAAAATATATACACATTTAAAAAAAAAAAGAAAGAAAGAAATGTGCCCCTAATAAACTTCTTTGAGTATGACAGTGCTACTGTGGGAAGCTTTAAGTTTTCCATTTTAACCGGTGGATTATATAAAGTACAAAACTCAATGAAAAGCATTCTAATGCACATTAACTACACAGACTTTACCAAGTTCGCTCTTCTCAAAAACAGTTGTTAAATGAGTCTGCTTTGATTTTATTTCATTACTGCAATCTCTCATACAAAACTTTTTTAAATATTAAAGTTAAACCTGTTAATCAGCTGCTGACATCAATAAAAACAGCAACTTCAGCCATATTCTAAAGGTATAAGCTATTTCACATGTGATGAGTACATTTTCCATTAAAACATATTCAAAGGACCAGTATTACCAGCTATACCAATATAGTACAATTTGCATATCTAAACATAAAGAAGAAAAAGGGTTAACATCCACTTTCCATTTTAATTTGCAAAAAGATATAAGTAAAGGGCAGGTAAACATTAAGTCATTCTAGATGCCACTTCTGTCTTTAATTACTAGAATATAGTGATGGCAGTGTATGAAAGAGGTCACTCATGTCTCACAAAATCCGTCACCCCATTCTTCCACTGGAAGTGCACTGCAGTGTCCTGTGAACAACCTGGCATCTGGGTGTGGCCACGGGACTAAGTTCTCATCAATGGAACGGGAGTAGAAGTGAGAGAGCTCATTTTCAGGCAGGGGCCTGGGCCTTCTCCTGGAACCTGGAACTGCCAGCTGGAACCTAGAAGTGGCTGTGACTTAGCTTGATCATGCAAACCATACCTGGAGCAGCAGTCAGTGCCCAGTGAACCTTTCTGCAACAGTGGAGATGTTCTGTACCTGTGCTGTCCAATACAGAAGCCACTAGCCACAGGGGACTATTAAACACTTGAATGTGGTTAATGTGCCTGAGGAACTGAATTTTCAATTTTATTAAATTCAAATAGGCCCAAGTGGCCGGTAGCTACCGCGCTGGACAGCACAGTTGCAGAAGCACTGTGCTGGCTGTGTGGGTCCCAGAAGGCTTTACGGATTGACGTGTGTCTGCCCTGGACTGAGCACAAAACGGAAGTAAACTTCCACCTCATCAGCCGATGCGTCTGGGTGTTTAACAGTCTTCACCCTAACCAATACCACGGTCCTGATGTAATATGTGAAACCGCTACTAACGAACACCTCTGGAGAAGGAAGTAGAACTGCTAAGAGGGACCTTAAAGTTGGCTTTACTTTTAACTCTATACGCTTCTGTTTAGTTTGGATTTTGTTTTTTTTACAAGTGATTTGTTTCTGTTTTTGTTTTTTTTGCGGTCCACAGGTCTCTCACCACTGTGGCCTCTCCCGTCGTGGAGCACAGGCTCCGGACGCGCAGGCTCAGCGGCCATGGCTCACGGGCCCAGCCGCTCCGTGGCATGTGGGATCTTTCCGGACCAGGGCACGAACCCGTGTCCCCTGCATCGGCAGGCGGCCTCCAAACCACTGCGCCACCAGGGAAGCCCCGATTTGTTTTTTTATAAGAACTTCTTATATTATGACTTAGTGTCTGTTCAGTAAAATGACACAACACAAAACCAATAAAACAAAGCAACAAAAATAGGTTTTCCTGACTCAGTCTTTCTGTATTGTTCTGTATAAATTTTTAGAAACTAAGTTTAGTTATATTACTTAAAAAAAACAGTAGTGTGTAAAGTCTAAGATTAAAAAGAACTCTGCTGGTAATTAATTGTATACTATTTCATACACATGAGCTCCCTGAAGGCAATGGGTGTGTAAGACATCTTTATATGCAACCCCTGTCCTGTATTACCTAACTATACTGCTCAGCATATAATATGTAAATACTACCTGAATGATTATCACATTTAATCCGGAAAACACTAAAAACAAACATTGTACAAGGTCCTGTAAGTTCATTTCTGCAATTACTCCAATCAAACCTGTTCCTTATGGAAAGGAGTCTACAATACCTCTGGTGTTTGTCCCATTTCTCAAGTCAGGCTGAGATGCTAGCTGTTCCTTGACTCCATCTAAACGTTGTTGTAATTCTTCTGATGTCACTTCTCCTAAAACAATGGAAAAGTGCCCACTAAAATTAAAATCTTTAAATTACTAAGTTTTATGAAAACTCATGAAGGGTAAGACTAATCTTTAGCAATCTGTAGAAGACAGTCTATTGTTTTCATGTTCTATAAATTGAAGACAGCAAAAAACGTTTAATTCATGCAAATACACATCATTTTCGTTGTTTCATTTATTAATGTTTTATTTAAATTAAAATAAGATTTAATTTGAATCATTAATGAAGTGCTCCCAGTTGATATACTTAGGAACCTATAAGCTATAATTCTGTGGATTTTCGTCAGAGTTAAAAAGAAATTAAGAAGGGAGTACTTCTAGAGAAAATTTCAAATCTTTATTTAGTTGAATTTTACCTAGTTCATTATATGGGTAATGAATGCCCTTCATTATATGGGTATACAGAATGCAAATATGCAACACACAAATATATACAAGCATACAGTTTCAATTGGTTCATCTGTGAAATGAATTTGTAAAAAATTAATGGAGCACATTGAACTTTTTGGGAGTCATTAATTCAGCTAAATAAATAAATGATAAGACCTCAAATAGTTAGAATTAGGTTTTAAATGAATATTGTATTTGTAGAAATATTACTTAAGAGGCATAGGACTACATAAATATCCGACACTATCATGTACATTAACCTGTTGGTTTGACACTTGTGTAACAGTGCTATATGTTCAATATTCTTACCTACTTATAAAATACAGAAGTAAGCCAGTGATATTCTATGTTGTTATGTTACAATGCTCTTAAAGTCACAAAAACAGTACACTATATTTTGAGAGAGGAAAGATGGGGTAAAAACCCCTCCTTATTTTGAAACTTCTAATAATGCTGAAAAAGGTATTTCCTCTTTTACCCATCTCTTACCAGGGGTGCCTAAAAGATTATGGTCTCTCATTAGCCGGTAATCTTCGTCATTGAGATCATTAATAAACTGATAATAGGCTTCTTCTCTGTGGAGACGCTCTTGCTGCCACCTTCTCTCGTTTTCATGATGATTCTGGTCTTGAGATGAGGTTTCTTCACCACCACCACCTGATCTAGATCTAGACCAATTCATGCTGAGATTCCTGGCTTTCTGTTCAAACGGTATATACAAAATTCAAGGTATTAGCCATGGACTACACATGGCTTCATATTTTAACTTAGTTTTTTCATTTTCATTTTAAAATTCTGTCCACTACTCAAATACTTCATATGCCAAATCTTGCAGTGAAGAACCTACATATAAAATGAATAACAGCTCCTAGGTGATAGAACACAATTGGACCTACTTCTTTGCCTAAAGCCATCCTCTAAGTCAGATTGGATTTGGTTTCACCACACATTTCTCATAGCTGAAAATCAAAGTGATTATCTCATTTTCTACGTCTTTGACCCAAAAGCCCTCACTGATGTTCCAAATATCTGGGTATTCCACATTACCATACAAATTTTAAGCTTGAATGATGCATGTTCTTTACTTCATAAGCAAAGGACTATTGGGTATCAAGAGGGTATCATTTACATTTATTTCCAGTAAGGGTATTCTTCCCCAAAAAAGTTCATAAATGTAATATTACCCACCCCCCCGCACTTTGCTGAGGTAAAAATAACTTAGCTGAACAGACCTGGAGTTGATTTCTCTTACAGCTAACAGGGAACAATACTCTGTGCACAGCTCTGGGGATTGTAAAAGCACGTAAGAGCTTTGGGGTTTCCCCATAGGAAACCTTGTTCCTAAGCCTGGAATGGTTAGTCCCGGAGGTCTCTGAGTGCCAGTGAAACTTCCTGACCTTGCTAGGCAAACACTGCTTTTGGATTATACTGAAATGTCATTCCTGAGAAGTTTACTTTTAAACCATAAGGAAATCAAGGGAGGAAAGTAATTGTTTCATAAATATCTTAGAATTTCTTAAACACATCTATTTACTAAGTCGTTAAAGCTACAGTTCTCAACTGGGAATGCACATCAAACTCCCTTGAGGAAATTTTTAAAAATACAGATGCCCAGAGCTCACCCCCAATCCTAGGTCAGAATTTTCCAGGGTAGGGCCCAGGTCTACCTTCGAGAGCTAATCTGGGTGTTCTGTGGCTGAAATAAACCATTCCTTGACAATTTCTGGTATGTCACTAAAGGGTATGTGTAATACAGCACATGACTTAATAAAGGCTGCAGGATCGAACGACTAGGTGACCAGGGAAGCAACTTCGGTAACTAGGACTCAGTGTTTAACAAGCAAACTACTTTAAAAACAGGGTGAAATTAGCCTACAAGTCTAAATTATTGTATGAGTTAGCAACTAACCAATCTCATGCACATTCTGACATTAAATTACAACTTCAAAGGATTTTTTCACAGAGATCCCTGTCATTTTTTTAAGGAAAGATCTAGTAGCACTATCCAGTCACATGCAAATTAACATTATCAAAAACTACAGATTTCCTTCCATTTTCAGAATAATTAGGACTAGACCATCATTAGCAAAGAGCATATTTGGTAGGTACAGCAGTAGTAAGATTTTTGTATTAAACAGTTTAAACATCTGAAACCTATCATAAAGTCAAGCTACTTTAATATTATTCAAAACTTTAAGAGCTTCTCCTTAAGTGGTAATTTTCTCGTACAATTAACCCCAATTAAATCCACGTGAATACCTTACTTGCCTTTCAACATACTTTTAATATATGCAATGGTATCCATCCTTCCACTGTTTGTGCTTTTTTTGACAGCTGCCCATCTGAAGCGATAAAAGAGAGTTGAATTATTCAATAAGTTGCCTCTTTGAAGGCTAGGAACGGCTAGTCGTCTCCCAACTCTACTGTAAAGTTAAGGCAAAATATCCAGTGGATTCTGTTAGAAACTCACCTAGAAAATGAGATCCCCAAACAATTAGGTCATGGAAATCTCCCGCACGGCCCGTTTCTGCCACAACAGAAACTAGGCCTTTCTTTCCTCCACCGTCACCCCTCTTGGGATGACAACTCCTCTCTCAAGGCCTTCCTTCCCACCCCGCTCCCACTCGGGTGTTGCCAGGCTTAGGGGCCTCCAGCTTACTTCTAAACCTTCACTCGCTCGCCACCCCTGCCCTCCGTCCCGATACTGGTTCCCTTCCTGGAAGTTGCGACAGAAGCTCGCGCCGGGGTAGGGCCCCCAGTACAATAACCAAACTGGACTCGTGCCCAACCAACCTCTCCCCAACCGGTCCTGGAGTAACGCTTCCTTTAGCGACCTAGATTCCCACAAGGAAGCCAGTAACAGCGGGGCCTCGGAGCCAATCACCGGCCAGGGCAGGGCATCTAGACCGCAGGTAGCCAATCAGGAGAGGCGGGGCCCAGGGAGGGCCTGCGGTCCCCGCGTCTCCCGGAAGCCGCGGAGGGCCCGGAGCTTCCCCCGAGCTCACTACGCCGGGGACCTGGCCGTCTTCCCGCTACCTGGAGAGAAGCGTGCGGCCCCGGAGGCTGTGACCGGGCGGCGGGCGGGGCTCGCATCCGCGCCTCCGGAGGCCGCTGCGCCCTCTGCTCGTCTGCTGGAGAGAAGCCTGCTGCAGCGGGACGGTCCAGCTGGAGCGGAGGCTCTGGAGGAGGGATGGCAGGCCCCACCCGTCTCTCCCTAAGGCTGGGCCGCCCCCTGCGCGACAGGAGACGCTCAGCCGCCGCCGGGCGCTCGCCTGTACCAGTGGAAACTGCGTCCGGTGGGATCCCGGATGCCGCGTGCCGCGTTCCGGTTTTCGGCGCTCGACCCAGCGCTGATGTCACGTGGACGCCTCTCCAGCCGGAGTGCGGCGGCCCAAGGACGACTTGGGCTGGAGTGCAACCCAGCGGTCTGTTCTTGTCCCTTGACTTGACTGCCTGGGTACCACGTAGCTCACCACCCAGGCGCTTTCCCTTATTGCCAATCGGAAATTACAAACCCTAATCAATTCTCGAGTGCCTCTACTCGGGTTTCAGTGAAGAAAATGAATTCCCGCTAGGAATGCACTTTGAACCCACAACCCCTCCCCACAGTTGTGTCTCTGGTTTTATTTCTGAGATGTGACGCTTACCAAACTCGCCTCACCACTAGTTACGCCCTTGACTGAGTCCCTGCCCAGCCTGGTATAGGCTCCCCGACTTCCCTACCCTCTAGAAGATTTAATCATTGCACCATGCTCACCGTGCTGTGATTCTTCATTCGTTCGTTCGTTCATTCATTCGTTCGTTCGTTCATTCATTCCTGCCTTAACTTTGGAGGAGCTATTCTATCCCGGCTCTCATGCTTAGCGCCTGGGTAACAAACTTTAGCATCCATGAGCTACCAGTGTAGTAGGGGTAGAAGGGACGAGATTTTTAAAAAATCGGCATATTATAGATACGAAAATGGAAATATATAAACGATGCAGTCTTCAAGGCCCTTCACGATATCTCTGCTGTGTACCACCACAGACTGGGTGCTTCTTGGCATTCTGGAACTACTTGAAGTTCAATTAAGCAACCCCCAACCCCACTTTTACCTAATTTCCTTTATCTCCCAGGACTCATTTCATATCTCATGGTCAAGGGATTTTTTTCTGATACCTCTGAAGTGGCACTCTAACCCCAACGTCCAGCCACGCATAAAACTAGGCCCATGTCCCTAGTACGGTGGCTCCCATAGCTTCCTCTGTATAATTATTTTAGCACTTACTCATTTAACAAATATTTACTGGGTGCCACTAGGAATTAACAGCAGAAGATAAGACAAACCAGGCCCATGCCCTCCTTTTGAATGGAAAAAGACAGCCACTGAACGAGTACCTACAATGATTTTCTGTTCATTTATAGTTCTCTCCCATCTAAAAGTCCAAACTCCTTCAGTTCAAACAAATGGATTTATTCATTTTTAGAGTCCCAGAGCTCAGCATGGCACCTGGCACAAAATGCCCCTCAGCCAACTGCGTGGATGAGCAGAGAAAAATGCAAACTTGTTACAAACAGGATTAATGCATGTTAGTACAATGACCTCAGGAATTCTGAGTACACGTCTGAGAAAATCACATGTGAGATATCCAAAATTCAAGCAGAAATCATTTAAAATACCTATACGAGTTGTAATGAGTGTAATACGCCATCAAGTGCAAATACTTTAAAACGTTAAACCGAAAAGATGTGTAATATATCCTAAGAGTCAAAAAATACAAAGTCTAATCAAGTGATTTACCTGGTGGGAGGCTGCAGATTTCTGTGGATAGATAGGTAATGTATGGAACTTGAATCCAATACCTTGCTTCAATTTTGTAGCCCAAGACAAAGTGACTATAAAAGGGTTCTACATATGATAATTGGGACAGAGAGGTGGATCATTCTGGATATCTGTATTTCCAGCTCTCATAACCTGCCAAAATCTTTGGTCTAATTAACCTGGTTTACTGGGATGCTATCTGCCCTTTTTAGTGTGTAGGCGTCTTTTAACTCCAGGACTTTTTACAGTGAAGAATAAAAAGGTATAAAAGAAAACCATAACATTAAAATGATTTTCTGTATATTTGTTATTTTATGTACTTATAGTGTTTAAGTGATTTTGGCTTCTTAGAATGACAGCCTTAATTAAAATTTAAAATCCAAACTGAGATGTTGATTTAGACTTTTATGTTTAAATCTTATTTATTTATTTATTTTTGCCATGCCGCCTGGCTTGCAGGATCTTAATTCCCCCACCAGGGATTGAACCCTGGCCCACAGCAGTGAAAGCCACGAGTTTTAACCACTGGACCACCAGGGAATTCCCTTAAGTTGAAATCTTAATAAGTTTGTGAACAGTATAAGAACAGCTAAGAGAAATTTAGGCTCATCATATTGTTTTCTGATTAATTTTAAGGTTATTATTTAAGGATTCAGGAAGACATTAAATCCAACATTTGAAGTACTTATGAATGAAAAAATATTACATTTATAAAGTTTAAAATGTTTGTTTGAAGATGATTAATTAAATAAGTATTAATTAAATAAGTATGTGAATGAGATCTAAATTTAGTCAGAGTCTAATTCCAAATGACTGTTAAAGTTTACTTATTACTAGAATAATGAGAGCTGTAAACTAGATTTAAAGCCTAAGGTTTAAGT